ATTATATTTTTTTAATACTGTGTCCAAATCGGAAAACGCACGAAGAGTATATTATAAAAAATCAATTACATTTTTTAACAAATTTATGCCAACTACAGAAGCCGCGCCAGGAACTAAAACAAAAACTCAATAGAAAGAAACTAACTGAAGAGTCGATTTCGGAGGCACTTTGTTTCAAGGCTAAAAAATTTCTCCAAACAGTCAATATAATTAAAACATTCGCTATAGTGCCTTTTCACACATTTTTACTTTTTTCTCCCTCCTACATGCAATCTCAAGCCTGAATGCATCACATTATTAAGATTTCTGCAAAACTCTACCTTATTATGGTACTGTTATTATAGTTCGACATAGAAATGATTTTTCTTAGAGATTTGTCGCTAATAGTTATAACAATCTATAAAATATCCTCTAATAAGATTTGTTGATAATAAGAAAATTTTTATCTTTTTGTATTTTAGTATAAGAGCCTGTAATAAATTATTTTAAAAAAGGAAAAATTTGTAATGGGATTATAAAAAAATCGTTTCGAGACTAGTTGTGAAACACATAAGATTCAAAGAATTGTTTTAGTAATATATAGCGATAATTTGATAAAAGAAAAAAAAAATGTTAGATTCTTTTTCTTTACTATCTACATTTAAACTTAATTTTTTATTTTCCAAATTTAAATGAACTACCAAAGAAAATCGAAGACTCCACCAAAAAAATTTTTATTCAATATCTTCCACTTTACTTCAAATGAAATTTTAAGAGACACGCTGAACTAAGAAACGAATTGGTAAATATATATACTACTGGCCATTAAATTGGCCAGGAAGGAATGCAAATAACAGAATGATATTTATTGGGCACATACATTATAGTTGGAAGAACAAGTGATTAAATTTTCTGGATCTTTGGATGTATGGATTCTGAGGAATCAGTACTCAGAGAAGCCTCCCCTAGCAGCAATAACAGCAGTTATTCTCCTGGGCATCGAGTAGAACAGAGATTGGATAGAATGGACGGATACAGCTTTCCGTGCAGCTTCAACGTCATGCCACAATTCATAGACCGTAGTGACTAACGAGTGGTGGCGTGCCAGTCATTCGGCAACTATTGACCAGACGTTTTCAATGGGTGATAGATCTGGAGAACATGTTGGTCAGGGCAACAAGGAAACATGTTATGCCTTCAAGGAAGATCAGGACAGTGCGGGCAACATGTCGTCTCGCATTGTCCTGCTGAAACGTAGCGTTATGGAGGCCTCGAAGATAAGGCAGAGCAACTGGCTCTAAACATCAGAAATGTAACCGCTGCTGTTCAAAGTACCGGCAATGCGAACAATGATGATGGGCCAGTATGACGATGTTGAATGCGAATTAATAGGATTTTAATGAATGTGAAAATTTTAGATTACTACTTAAGGGTACTTTATCAAATCTAATATGAAGAATATTTCCTCATTTAAACAAAACAGTATGCTCATTAATTTAAACTTTTTCATGGGCTTGCTTTTTGAAAGGCCTGCTCTCTGAAAATTATTATTAACATATAAATTTTTATTAACATTTAAAACTCAATTTAACAAAGCGTCAATATTTCTTTTAAGTTTTAAAATAACTATTCTCGAAATATCTCCTCTTATAAATAGCTAAATAGAAAGGAAAAGTCACCGCTAACAGAAAACTACATTCTATGGATTAGAATTTATTTCCTCATAAAATAATCGATTATTCAAAAAAAAATTCTTTTATCTTTATCAAACAGCAAGGAATCGTTTAATGCTCATCAATCCAACCTGACCAATAACCTCCAATTTCAGAATTATCTCACCAGATTTTGGTATTGTTTTAACCGAGGTCAAACGCAAGGTTACCAAAATGCGCACCCATTGCCTCACATTAAGCTCTCGTCGTCTAGTTATCCACTCTAATCCTCCAGGTAACGCCTACTACAATCTTAAAAATTAAGTAGGTCATTTTTTCTCTCGTTTAATTCCCTTTCGAATTAAAATTCGAAGGTATTTTTCCGTAGACTCATTCGCTTCGTTTATAAAAAGCAATAATGTTAAATGTTCTTGAAAGTATGAACAATTTTTCAATACTTTATATTCAGCAATGGATTTTCCGGGACGTAGAATTTGCACTCTACATTGACATTTTATTGAAATTTTATTATTTTTAAATTTGTGTATATTTAAAAGTAAATTCAAATACAGAAAGCTTACCAAAGAAAAATTATTGGATTTTTGTAGAAATATCTACTTGCAGGAAAAATTCTGTTTTGAAATTGATAGTTTCTCCACACTTATTTTCTCAATATATATGTCGGAATATCTTCATTTAAAATTTTTTTATGTTATTCAAAGGCTTTGTCTTCGTATGAAATAATGCAGTAGATAATGAGTAATTTTTAAAGGACTGAGTAACTCCTGACTTTTAACATTCGTCTTTCTTCAGCCTGCGCATTATGGCTGAAATCTGATTTGAAATATATTTTAATATGTTTATTTGTTATGGATGAAATCTGATTTGATATATATTATTTGAAATGTATGATTTGAGATTTGAAATGAGAACTGAAAATGACTTAACATCTTTAGGAAATAAACCCACATTTTTGGGGAAATGAAAGTTTCTGTGATCTAGTTTTTTTAGTATTTGAAAAATTAATTAAACACTGTATTTGGTTTTATTTGATTATACAAAATTTGAGAATTATTTATTGATTATAATTAATTTCCTTCTGTGATAAAACACCTCCAAATTTAGAGTTAATTTTAAGATTTTAACTTTTTTTTTGAGTATTTAAACTGTTAGAACGTTTTTTTAGTCCGTATGATTCCTTCCCCCCAAAAAATAGGACATAACATTTATTAAAACTTTGTTTTGAAATTAAGATACTTCAAACAAAAGCTTCCTGTATTTTTATAGGCTAAAGACCTTAAAAATCCAATTTTTAATCCATTTAATTAGCACCAAATTCGATGCAAGAATTTTTGCAAGATTGTTACATTTATGATTTATAATGCAACATGTGAGCTCTAAGCTAATATTTTTAAAAGCATTTCCTATTGTTTTGCATTGAACTTTGCTTTCATTTAACAACAAGCTAAAAAATATCATAATTATACTACGTCGCATAAATGTTATACTAATATTTGTATGACATTTTCTAGAAATTCAATAGCTCATAAACAGTACTTGTGATCTTGGAATATGTTCAAATAATAATTTTGCAGTTGAATGAATTTTGTTTTCACTTTAAATATTAGCACTACTTAGCAAGTATTCTTCACTTGGAAGAAATAACAGATACAAAAAGTTACTGAAGCCTTTTTTTTTTCGAAGTCTACATAGCTAAATTTTTAATCTAAGTAATTGAAGTGAATATTTAAACTGTCAATAGAAATACAATGCTAAGTTCAAAATATTCTTTTTTAAAAATTTAATTTAGAAAGCATCGTATTAAACTTTTGTCATAACAACAATAAACGATAACTAAAAACGAGTGAGATTATCTAAAAAGACAATATATAATGCAACATGATAAATGAGATTTATTGAAATTTATTTTAAATTTATCTTTTTTTCTAGTTGGAAAAAGATGCGTAAAATGCGTTTTACAAATATTGTAAATTACAATGCACATTGATTCATTTATGTTTCAATTTCCATTTTCTTTTAAATTTTCCTTGTAAGAAAATTGTAATCGAAAAAATGAAATTTAAATATCTATGTTGTTTAAGCTAAAGAAAAATTAATCTTCGTCGAATTTCGGTGCAAAATGTTTTTAAGTTATGGAAAGTTTTGTTTAATTTAGTTATGTTTTAAATTTAGTTAGTTAAAAATTTAGGTATGTTTTATACATAACTTCAGATTTACTGAAAACCAATTCAAAAAATATTTTAAAAAACTTGAACATAATTTTAAAAAATTTAATAATGTATCTCATTAAAACTGATGTGAGAATTTTTTTTACAACTGTAGTGTAGTTGATACAATTATTAACAGTAGATTATAATTATTAACAGTAGTACAATATAAATTATTATTGAAAAGATGATATAACTACAATCAAGTCTATTATGATAAAAATTATAATAAATTGTCATACGATAAATAGTAATTGTGATAAAAAAATCCTTTATATAGAAAACCCAATTAACATTTTATTTTTATTAATGCTTCCATATTGGAATAAACAAAACAAGACAAAAAAATTTTTTAAAAAGATATATAATATTGGTAAGTTTTACTTATATTGGGAAGAATATAGGGAAGTTTTACCTATTTGCCATTATTTTAATATTTAGTGAAATGCGGTTAAATTTTTTCTCACTATGTACGGAAAATATTCTGGTAATATTGTACTGTATGGTAATGACTATGACATTTCCGGTTTAAAAAAATCATATTTTAAATCTTGGTTACGGTAATGATTAAAAATTAAGATTTGCGGTATTTAAACCATTTATTTGGTAATCTTTCCTTTTAAATGGTAACGGTTTACCGTAAATTTTGGTTTAAAAATTACAGTTTCTATTATAAACACATAGTAAAAAAACACATAGTAAAAAATACACAATTGAAAATTAAATTTAAGCGAATTAATAGTTTTTATACCATACTCTAAAATATCATGATAAAATGACCAAATTTTATCTCATTCTATAAAACCATATTCTATTTTTAATTTTACCAAAATGATTACCAAATCGATTTTGCAAAATTTGCGGAGCTTTTTGGTGTTACCATAGAGCCATAAACGCGGTTAATTTTACTATATTCTGGTATTTTTGATCATGATTTTTTCTTTGTGTATAAAAACAAGACTTTAAAAACACCCAAAGTTAACAGAAGGTTAAAAACGGCGTGAAATGATTATATATAAACTAAACTACAATTGGTATGCCAATAATGTAAATCACCCTTTTTAGAAAATTTCTCTGTCCTCTATGAATTATTTATCAATTTCTGATGAAAATTTTGTAAATAAACAACTTTCTTTTTCAGCTTTAGATACTGATGACATACCGGTGAAGAAACAAGTATTTGAATTACTGTCGGCACTGTGTGTTTATCGCTCAGACGGCTACACAAGGGCTTTGGAAACATTGGAATATTATAAAGTATGAATAAATATTTTTCTGTTTTCAATGTAAATTCATTCGAGATTTATCTCATTTTATTTGAATGTGTTTATTGTCCAGGTGTACAAAATCTATTTCTTAACCTTCCAAGTTTTCGCACCATTATGTAAATGTACTCACGAACAGGTGTGTTGTTAACGTGATGTTTANATTTGGAAATAATCTTTAAAAAAAAGAAAAAACGATGAAGTAATAATGATTAATTCCAAATGATAATAAGGTAAACATCTTTAAAAAAAGAAAGAAAAGTCCTAAAATCTTATGAGGATAAAAAATTTAAAAATGGTAAGAAAATTTATCGAATTTCGTTCCGGTTTCTTGGTTTTCCGGTTTTCTGATTTCCGGATAACGGGTTCTGAACTGTATTATAGACAACATTGAAGCACGTGAAAGGAAATTACTTTCAAAACCAGAAAATGTAAAATAATTAATAAATAGCATTTGAATTGAAATAATTGCTAAAAAATGTTTGTCTCAACTGTAGTTGTTTAAGATGCATTTAGATGCACTTCTCAACTTTTCTTTTCGCAACAGCAACCGTAATTAGAAGAAATTACTTTATTAAAGATACCATTGAAGAGGCTAAAAAGAAATCTTAGTTTCTAATCAGGAAGATTAAAATAATTAATAAATATATGAATAGAAATAATTACTAAAAAAGTTTTTCACAGCTGTAGTTGCTTAAGATGCATTAAAGGTCCAGAAAGTTTGAATAAATTTAGAGATTCATACATAAAAATTTCTTATAAACCAGTTAATATAGCTATTAAATAATATATCATTTTTATGCCATAATTATTACAACTATACTGATTTGAAATACTTCATTAACATTTTCAACGAAAGCTTTAAATAAGAAAAAGCAACGTACTCAATTTTCAGGAATTATATTAGGTGATATGATTATCTGTTACCTTTTCAGTTTTTGAAGAAGAAAAACTAATAAAACTTTAAAATTTCGCTTGAAATTTCTCATATTCTCTATGAGTGGCTACTTCATATGATAAAAAAGGGATGTGAGACTCTGGATAAATTCTAAATCTCATTGTAAAAAGGTTCTAAGTAACGTTTTTGAAAGAATTTTGGTTTCTTTGGAAAGTTCTAATTTTAGAACTTTAATGCACGAATTTATTTTCCTTTGCCCCTATAATTGCACCTTTTAGCTCTAATTTATTTTGCCAAGTCTTTAAAATTTGTAGTTCTCAATAGATGGCGATACAATGGTTCAGCGTAGAATGGTGCAATGAATAAAAAAGCCATATTTAATAACAATCAAATTTAATAAGTATAAACTATAAAACAGACAAATATGATAGTGTGTTATTTGTTAGTCTTCCTAATAAGCTTCCCATCTCAAGTGATTCATAATCCTAATTATTATGCACGATTCCAGCTCCCTCTTTGGTCAGGTAGAAATGTGCAACAGGTACTAAGGGAGAATCTGAGTGTTTTCAGACTTATAACAAAATGTCTTCGGCAAAAAACAGTCAATGGATAACCTTAGAAAGCCTTTCATTTAACAGCCAATTAAGTCGCCAAGAGTGAGAACAAACGTAAAAATATTGAATGAATGTTGAAAATTTATAGATTTTGCCAAGCATAGGTACGAACAAATAATATGAAATTCATAATTCATTTTCTTATAAAAAAAAGAGTTAAGTTTAAACTTCATAGTTATCCCCGTGGCAGAATTGCGGCGACACGGCGACATTGTCGCAGAACGTTACAGAGTTTTTGCTGAAAGATTTCACGGCGCGGATTTACGGAATAAGTTTAATTTTTCGTTCTGCATAATTTTTTCGAAAATGTTTCCTTTTTTTTCCTGCATAATTTTTTTTCGAAGATGTTTTTCTTGTGCATCAGAGAGGAAAGAAATAATCATGATTTTTCTATCCTCATTTGAGTTTTTAAAAGAAATCGGTAATGACTGGCTTCAGCCACTATTTCAAATTAATAATATAAAATAAAAAAATCAGAAATCGCGAAAGTTTAAATGATAGTTCGCTCTAAAAATAATGTTCTTCTTTCTTTCATTTCTTTTTCCTTCTTTAAAGAACACCACATTTTACATGCTCTTATTTGAGTATCTCTTTTTTAAAGAGTCCTATTCACATTATTCTTTATTATTGGAGTTACTGGACGGATTTTACGATTTTTTATTTATGTACAAATTTTAATTTATGTACGAATTTCAATTTAGTTATGAATTTTAATTTGTGTAATGATTTACAAAATTCGAAAGAGGAAATAGTGCATTTTTCCGCCTGCAAAAGGCGAGAATATCGCCTGTGATATTACAATTAAAAAATTATTATTTACAATTAAAAATTTTTATACATTTTTATTTTATACTTTCTTCCGTAAAAAAAACGTTTCTGTTCTAAATGACGAAAAATCCAGCAAGTTTCTTCCATAATGGAAAAAAATAAATAAAACCAGCTCAGACGAAATAAATTTCTCCCAATACCAGTGACATAAACTCTTTTTAAAATAAATAAATAATTTAATAGTGATGAATCTGTGTTTTTCTTTAGTGTTTTCAGAAGTGTAGTAAACTTTATTTACAGTCATAAAAAAAAGTATTTAAATATAGTAATCAAATTTAAAATAAGTGCAATTAAATTAACAAATGACACAATAGTCTTAATCGCAACTACAAATTACATTTTTTTTCTCCGAAATTATAAATTAATTTTAATAATCAACCAAATTTTCATAATTAAATGCCAATCAGTATGAATACTCAAAACTACTTTAGATAATATGATAAAGGTATGTCTGAATAAATATTTTTAATTCAAATTTTATTTTCACATCATCATTAAATTATTAGTAAATTATAAAATTAACTTATACAAATTTAATTGCAAATTTTCATTCCGAAATAATTGAATTTTCCATTGCAAGTTATTAAATAATTACATGCAATTTAAAATATTGATAAATCGGTAATTAATTTTAAAGGTAGCATATTAAATTCAAACTGAAATTGCAAACTTTCCGGTAGAAATAATTTATCTCACTCCTTATACATAAAAAAAATTTATGGGCCGCCAAAGCTGTTTTAGGTGTTCAACTTTACATTTGGTTTTGCTGCGCAAAAGCTGTAGGATTTAGAAATTTAAAGTTAAAAAGGTGTATAAAAATATACAGGAAGTACGATAGAATAACAAAATGTATCATTAGATTACTAGTTCGGAAATAATAAACTGTTAAACTTGTGGTAAAAAAATATTCTTTAAAAAAAAATATTGTGGGAAAAGAAACAATGATGAATGAGAAGTTGCCGCGGGAGTAGGGGAAGGGAGAAAGCAGAGGGGATAGCCTCCCTGTTGATATAATGAAATGTGATATATTATGAAACAATATATATTATTTTATAATATTAGTTTTATAAAATACCATGAATATATTATAAAATATAATTAATAATATATGCATAAAAAATGGTCCTTTATGTATCAAATTAATTTAACGAAACGAGTACTAATATAAAACAAAAATTTTTTTAAATTATAAATAAGGTGTGGATATTTTGTTATTTTATAATTAATTTTTCTACTTTATATTTCTGTATAAGCGTGGTTACTTATAAAAATATGTATAAAATGTAAGCATAAATAATGATCCATTGTGTATTAAATAATTAAAATTATAACAAGATTGCGCATAAATTTTATCATTTTATACGTTAAAAAGGGTAATTTTTCATTCATATATAATTAATTATATCATTTTATGCATAAATTTAATACATATTTCATGCAGAAAAATATTTATAAAAAAAATTAGATACTGAATAACGTATAATGTATAAAAAATAATTTACACGGTATGAAAAAATATATTTTTTGTCAATATTGAATTAATACCAAAAAAAAAAATTTTTTTAAATTATTAAACTACCTTTTAACAATTGTTTTTGTTTCTTTTCTTTTATAGTTCTCAGCCGCTTTTTTTTTTCAGTTACTTTAAATTTATCTACTTTAATTTGAGAATAAGCAAGTCACCCACAGTGATTTCGACACATATAGACCAAAATTTATATTTTGAAAGAAACCTATTGAAATAGACAATTCAAAGATCATTGCCTTATCAAGCAATTGATGTATTCGGCGTTATCGTCGAAGGTGGCCTCTTCCTTCGCAGCTGCATCCGTCACAACAGGCTTCGAACAGGGAGACGTCCTTTAATTTAAAAGAAGAAGAAGAAAAAATAAGAAATAATAAAATTCAGGGCAAGCAGGGTGGTATACGCATCGGTAGCGGATGAGAAATGTAATAAATCATACCTACTGGAGACAAGCCGCACATTCGAGAAATGCATCATAATAAGGAACCACTTAAGTCATCATTATTTGAAAGAAGGGAAAAAAAAGAACAGTTATTCCAAATTCCAGGCCCCTTTGATGAACTCGTACCGAAACTTGCAATTATATCAGTGAGATTAAAAGAGCAGGCAATGCAGTTTCAAATTCGCTAGTATGATGTTGTGGTATCTTGTGCTCTGGATCTAAGTTCTGAAACTAATAAGATTTATGGATAGATGGATATGGTACGGAATGAATGCAGACATACCTAAATGAATCATTTTTTAAAAAGCTAAGGATTGCGCTTTCGTTAAAAATTACAATTAAAATAGTTTTTTTTTTTAAAATCTACTTTATGAATAAATTGGAATGTTTATTATGAATATGTTTTTGCGAATGCGTAGTTTTTTCCCACGAATATACAGTCGTTGGTCAAATTATTAGACACATTTAAATTCTGTATAAAATCTTAATTATCAAGTGATACTATATCTTAATTATCAAGTTTCAAATTCACTAGTATGTTGTGTTATCTTGTGCTCTGGATCTCAAAATTTCTGTAAGTTCTGAAACTAATAAGATTTATGGATAGATGGATATGGTGCGGAATAAAAGCGGGCATATCTAAATGAATAATTTTTTTTTTGAAAAGTTAAGGATTGCGCTGCGT